CCCCCCCCTTTAGTTTGCAACCGATTTACAATTTACTTAATCGACCTCTTATCAAGAATCTTTTGTATTGTTGTTTGGAAATGGTAACTTGACCGCCTATATTGAGTGGAAAATGCTAAAGAACTTGAGCCTATGGTATTTTATTTCGAAAGTACCCCTAAAACTTCATATCAATGTTTTTAAACTGTTGTTGACCCATTCAGTTGGACCATTTGAACCATCAACTGGATAAAAAAATGGGTCCATTTCACAATAAACCCGGTGTTTGAAAAAAAAAACGTTGAATTTGGTCAAAATTATTGACCCAAACAGTCAAACCGATGAACCATTTGAACCGTTGTTGGGTCACAGTTCAGACCATGTATATAAGAGCTAACCCTAAATCTCTTTTGACTCCTTTTCTTATTCCCACTTATTCTTTTGTTTTTTTTTATTTTTTCTCAAATCCACTTTTGTCAGTGCAGATCTTTTGCCACCATCAATGCTTTACAAGTTACAACCACTGTAGATCTGTGTTGTGCCACCACTATTCCTCTGCAACAACCGAAGGGAAACTGCTAAGTTGGATCTGCAATTTCCACTGCTCATGTGCTCCTTCATCCGCTTCTATTGCAACTAGCAAGAGAGCCACTGTCAGCCTACCGGTTGTGGCTGCTTGAACTTTTTCTTCCCTCCCTTTCTCTCCCAATCTTTGATACCTACAAATCTCCAATCTTAATCTTTCTCCGGTTCTCCCCTCCCTTTTTTTCCCTCTTATTTTACCATCTACTCAATAAACCTCCCCTCCCTCTCTTTCCCTCTTATTTTCTCTTCTAACCCAATAAACCTAGATCTAACGCAGTATATTCAAGATCATGATCTAAAGGTTATAATGCAATTACGGGTTAAACCATTGACTTAGATGGTTGAACCATTGACCCATGACCTGGAGGGAAAAACGGTTCCATTTTCGGGTCAGCTTTCAAAATATTGTTTCACATCAAGCTTCTAAAATGAACTATTGATAGATTTTTCAAATCTACCACATAATATTTGGTTTCCGTAGAATGAAGAAGAAGAGAGAAGAATGCATCTTGAGTAATTAATTCGCAACATGTCTTCCTTCTTCAAATAGAGAATAAAATTGATTGAAAAGAGCTTTTGCTATGTTTTACTAAGGGCAAGAGTGGCATTTTCATTTGTATTTTATGTAGATTAAATTGGTCCAAATGGATGTTAAAGACAAAACTGTCATTTTCCACTTCAACCTAATGGAAGGTCAATTAAGTAAATCAACTACGAATTATAGGGGTGTTTTAGTAAAACATAACCCTTAATTTTTTAAGTGAAATAAAACACAAATAAAATGAATTTAACAACACCAAAACATGGCAAGGAGTGGGGATCCCCATAGGGGTGGAGATGGAGAAATCCCATACCTAGGGCCCATTTGGCACGTCTTTCCATACGGTCTTTCGACAGTTTAGAAGCCAGGCAAACCGACTTTTGGTTTATTCCCATTTGGTTTGTGGAAGATTTAGCCACCAAAAGCCGGAGCACCGAAAAGACGTGAGAAACCCATTTTGGGCTGATTTCGGAAAGCTCCAAATGAAGCTTTTCACGTTTTTTACGTTGTATTTTCGCCCAGAAAGACACACGGAAAGACGTGTATTTGCCAAACTACCTTCTACCTACTCAGATCTTCGTGCAAAAGCTCAATGCATCTTTTGACTATCAAAACTACTCTTTCCAAAAAGACGTGCCAAACAAACCCCTAATTGGTAGAGACAAGGATGGGGAGTATCTACCCAGCCCCGCCCCACCCATTGCTCCTAAATAGAATTGATTGTATTAGAAAGTTTGATGGGAAATGGACTCATAACCATGAACGTATTGTCAATATTTTTGTGGATTATCACAAAAGTTTATTTTGCTGAAAAAAAGGATCAAAACCTTTAATCCTATTTCTGATCAGCTTAAACCTGCTATTTGTGATATAAATAATTCAATATTGTTGCCGATACCTACTCTTGAAGAAAATCAATATGTTATTGAGTGTATTGAAAATTTGAAAGTCTCCAATGGTTTCCTTACCTTAGTATATATACGAAACTTTTAGAAGAAGATTGTGAGGATATTCATGAATTTGTCTGTAGACTTTTAAAAATAAAATAATCCTTGAAAAAGTAATCACACTTTCTTTACCCTTGTATCCAAAACAAAATAACCCTTCCTAAGCCAATGATTATAGAATGAATTGGCTTAAATATCTATTTTGCATAAATGTACATCTCCATTCCATGTTGCTTTCATTCCCAAACAAGCAATTTAATGATAATGTTATAATTGTTTATTTAATGATAATTTATAATTGTTTATGCATTAATAAATCTATACTACTATTAGGCCATGTTTGGTTCATGGGAATAGAGGTTTGGAATCGGAATCGGAATCTCATTCATATTCCTACTGGAATGGCATTCCCCCATTTGAGCTTTAAGGGAATGGTCATTCCCTGCTCCTTCCTTGGGAATGAAATCCCATTCCTGCTGATATCAATTCTCATTTCCATTCCTGTTTGAACCAAACAAACTATGGGAATAGACCATTCCGATTTTGATTTCAAAGGATTTCAACTTCGATTCT